TCTCCCATATTAAACCTAACCAGGCCCCTGAATTCTGCTTTGAGGGATCCACAAACACCCTTTCCAAGATATTCAAAAGATTAATAACGTTATAAAACTTAAAGTCCCAAATTCCCCTTTTAAAACCCAGATTCCAGTTAAGCCCATTTGAAGAAGGAGAAGTCTTAATGAACTTAGACATTAATTCATTATTTTTTTTTTGAGAAAGGTAAGATAATTTTATTAAGAATATAGAGAAGGATACAAGTAGGCCCCTGGATAGAAGGCAGGCCCAAGAACCAGATTACATTACAGCTCAAGGAGATTTCTAGAGTTCAGCAGGACTCCAATCTCCCTAGTTTGGAAACCATTTACAGAAGCAATCCAAGAAACCACTTTTCCAATGGAATTAGAAATGGGCTGTCTATTCCTTTGGCCTTGTTCTGGAACACACTATTGTTTCTCTCCTCCCAGATGGTACTAATCACTGCTGCAGGAATTGATCTCCAAACACTTTTGGCCAACTTGGAAAGCCTTAAACAGTCCCAGCACAACATCAGATCCAACACAGACTTTGGCATGGCCCAGGCACTCCTACCTGGAAAGATAGTGATTCCATAAAGACATTGAAACAAAACAGTGGAGGAACAAATGATTGTTATGCTCTTCCTGTTGACCACATAACACAAAACTCAAGTCTTGAATCTGCACTCCTCCCCTCAGCAGGCTTTTCATGGTGAGGAACCTATCCAGGGCAGCAGCCCAAACAAGGGCATTTACTTAGGTAGGAGCTGTCACTTTCCAAACAATAGCAGCTGGAAAAACAGGTCTGTTATCTCCTTCCAAAACTTTGGCAAAGGACCTCATAGAAAAGAATCCGTCTGCACTCCAAGACCCAGCTCTGTCTGCACTCCACATTAATTCATTATTAAAGCAATAAAGAATAAAAAGAGAAGGAAATTGATCTATGAGAGAAGACTCCACCACCCATAAATGTTCCCAAACCTTTATGTTCTTCCCCAAATGTACATCATACTTGACAAAGTAGGCAAATGGAAAGAATATTATGGATTGCCATCCATGGAAATGCCAAAGTGACCCTTGCAAATAATCCTGCATCGTAGCTAGTATTTTCCATCCTATGAATACATGCCACCACTTTATGCCATAGATTCTCCATCTCGTTTGGGAATCCCCACAACCATCTGCCCCACTCTCCCTATTCTCAATCCCCCTTTCTGTTTATCTTTCCAGACAACATCCCATCTGCTAAGATGATCTCTCTTCCCTTCCCCTGGCTCCCAAAGGAAGTCTCTTATAATCTTCTCCACTTTCCTAACTACACCTTGTGGCATCTTAAAAACTAAAAGGTAATAAATACGTAAGCTAGATAAGGTGGATTTGATAAGTGTGATTTTTATCCCTATATAAATATAATTCCTCTTCCACACCACCAACTTCTTGGAGAACTTCTCTACAATAGGATACCAAAATCTAAACTCTTCGGGATTTGCCTACTAGTGGTACACCTAAATATTTCATAGGCTAACTAGTTGTTATACACCCTAGATAATTTGCCAACTGCTCCACCATCATGTCCTCTAATTAATCCCTACCAAACAACTCTTCTCCAAATTAACATTCAAATTTGATATCTGTTCAAACAGCCTCACCACCGATACTTGTTTTCCATGTTCCTAAACTCCCTACTAGTCATCATCATCCATGCTTTATCTGAACTACTGCCATTCCATTTTGTTTAATGTCATATCCACTGTTAAACTTGGGTGCTTAAATCATTTCTTTCCACTTTGACTCATGCCCTTTTTGTTCTACCCTAGCCCCCCTAGCCCCTTCAATTTGCAACAAATCACCTCTTCTTATGGATGCATATTGATGGTCTTCTATGGACGTGACCAAACCATCCTAATCTACTTTCTCTCATTTTATCACCTATTGGAACTACTCCTAGGTTCCTCTGAGTGACTTCATTTCCGATCCTATCCTTGCTAGTTTTCCACTCATCCATATCAGCATATGCATTTTATGCTACACTCAATTTTTGGACATGTAGTTTCTTGGCTACCCAACACTCTAATGCATACAGCATAGTTGGTCTTACAACTGTTTTATAGAATTTTCCTTTTAATCTAAGTGGTATTTGCCTATCACATAAAACTCCGGATGCACACCTCCATACTGATTTAAGCATCAAACATCTCCTACTCTCCTTATTTGCCTATGAGAGCATAATAGTCTCCTATGTAAAAACATTTTGCCTAATTAAATCAAACTCAGGAATAAGTCCAGCTAGAAATGCAAAAACCCTAATCCTCCTACCAACTTCGGATAAGTAGATGCATCATCATTACATATCCATTGAGAAACCTCCAAATTGTATATCTCATGCACAATATCATCAAAGCAGAGAAATAGATTACATGTGCTTTATGCCCCTACTTCAAAGTATTCACCTCACTTCTCAACTGATATGCACAAGCAACATCTAAATCCTAAGAAATAAGTTTCATCCATAGATACTTTCTACTAATATGGGGAAGCATGGAACTGCACAACCATATCTCACCATGTAATTCTCTTGTGTCCGATGGAGAGAAAGTGATGGGGATGAGAAAACTGAGTGACAGGTTATTGCTGTTCATGTTTCACAACAGGCAATTTGCAGAATGGATATTGGAGACAGAGAAAACAAAAGAAGGAAGTTTTGAACTTAAGGCCTCAAATGCAATGGAAAATTCTAAGGAGACCATTTCATCGCAGCCTTGTAGGTGGCCTACAAAATCCCTACAAGGCTAAAAACCCTAATTTCTTTTGTTTATTTTGGAAAAAGTAAGATAGTATTATTTTTGAAGAATCACATACAAATGGAGGAGCAAACAAGATTGCCTCCCCTGCATACACAGCATCAGATGTCACATAAACTAACTGAATTTAGAATTAGAAAAATGTTGCTAAGCTCAGGAACAACCGATAACCAAGAAACAAGTTTAGCCATAACACAATTGATCAACTCATCAGAACTTTTACAAAGATCATTAAAAATTCTATTGTTCCTCTCGGACTAAATAGTTCTGACCACTGCCGCTGGAATGGTCCTCCAAATGATTTTTCCTCTTTTTGATAACCCGGAATATACCAGCTGTGTAGAAGTTCCTGAATCGATCCTGGCATCACCCAGTTAATGCCCACCACATGCAAGAGTGTGACCAAATCCTCCAAGCAAAAGAACAATGAATGCATAAGTGATCCATGGACTCTTCCATTTGACCACAGATCCCACAATTTAAGTCATCAAAGGTGATTCCTCTTCTCATCAGACTGCTTCTTGTTAGACATTTCTTTAGAGTTGAAGCCCAAACTAGGAATTGACTTTGGAAGGGGTTGAAGGAATCCAAATTTGTTTAGACGGGAAATCACACTCTCCTCTAGAAGCTAGACCCTCCGCAAAGGATTTAACGGAGAAATACCCATCAGCCTTCATTTCCAGGTCCAAATATCACTTACTTGGGGATTGAAGGTGAAGATATTCAGGTAGCTAAGGAGGCTCATTACTTCCTCCACCTCCCAATCCTGAAAAGCTCTGTGGAAACTAAGTTTCCAGACACTTCCCCTCTTATTAGCTCAAAAGATTCAGCCACTGTAGCCTCTTTGTTCTCAGCCACTGAAAAAATAAGAGGGAACTTATCCTCTAAAATTGTTTCATCAAGCCACCTATCCTTTCAGAATCAAATTCTGTCCCCCTTTCCCACCTGAAAGCCTACACCCTTCAAAAAAGTCGAGAGCACTTCCATTATAGCCTTCAACCCCCAGGCTGAAGGCCATACTTTGCAGCAATGAGCTTTCTCCACCAACTATTTTCTTCTGTGCCAAATCTCCATAACCACTTCCCCATTAGAGCAGTGTTAAAAGTTTTCAGTTTTCTTAGACCCAAACCACCTGAACTATGTGGAGTACAGATCTGATCCCAAGCCACCAAGTGAATTTTCTTCTCATCTTCCCAGCCTTTCCATAAAAAATCTCTTTGCAATTTTTCAATTCTCTTAGCCACTTTACTCAGTAAAGGAAAAGAGAAAAAGGTAATAAGTAGGAAGGTTTGCAAGTGTACTTTTAATCAAAGTCACTCTTCCCCCTTTTGAAAGGTATTTTGTCTTCCAAATTGCCAATTTTCTTTCCATTCTTTCTACAACAGGTTCCCAAATTGTTGAGGATGAGCTTTTTGCACCCAGAGGAAGACCAAGATAACTAGTCAGGAGGTTCTATTTTACATCCCAGTACTTCTGCCCATTCTTCCAGCCCCTCAATTCTGCCCACCGGAATGATAGAAGATTTTCTTAAATTCATCTTCAGACCAGTTACTACCTCGAACCAGCTAAAAATCCCTATTATAGTTTCCAGCTGAGAAAAGGAAACGCCAATAAAGCATAAAGTATCATCAGCAAAGTGAAGAACAATGACCCTCCCACGACCTGGAATTATCTCAAAACCCTCCCATAGGCCTGCCTGACCCACGTGGTTGATGAATTGGGTCAGAACCTTCATAATACATAGGAAAAGCAGAGGTGACGGGGCCACCTTAGCAAATGCCCCTTGAATTTTTGAAGAAACCAGAAGATTTCCATTGATTAGAACAGAAAATTTGGGGAAAGATACACATACCCTCATCCAGTTTCTCCACTTCTGACCAAAATTATAGATTATCTAGTTCAACTCATGAAAAAAAGGTCAACTTTATGGCTACTATTAAAAACAAATAAATCAGCATATGACTATAATGGGTTAATTTACATAACAGCAACAAAAGCCCAGAACAAATTATAATATCGACGATTCATGATTTTAACAATAATTCACATAAATGAACTAAACCAGAATAGTGTACTATCACTTATGCATGGCATATGATAAACAGCAAGCAAACAGGATTAAATTTTGAACCACAGAACTTAATCAGCTAATAAAAAGAACCTTGTAGGTTAAAGATTTTGTATGTCTATACCTACCACCAAGTCATAATAAGCGGAATAATATTGAGGGAACTTTCCAGAAGCTCCACCATGAGATGTCTGTGTGGCATCAAGAAGAAGAAATATCTTCTCTCGCACAGGCAGATCTGACTATAGCACAGAAGATAAACTCAACATGCTCATTTTATAGTAACAATATAAAATATAGATCCATTTAACAGCAGATAATTTTATGTCTATGTGGAGTGGATAAACCTTTTTCTTTACAATCTTCACTAGTATAGGTAGAAGCCCAGTATCAATCACCAGTCTATGAACACGTTCTCCACAATTATTCATTAACATCTCCAATAGCTGCAAAACCAGATGACAGTTGACTAGCTGAGTAACAAGCCTGTACACTTCAATAAAATATGTAAGATGGGATTGGATGGATATGAAATTTGATGGGAAAAGGGAAAACAATTTGAATTTGAAATATCTTGTTGATAGCTAAACAATAAGGCATATTTTCAGAATACCAGGAAAAAAAAAGCAGAAGCATCCAACAACTTCAAGCTCCCAAAACACCAAGCTAATCTTCCAATATACTATTTGTTCGTCTTTAAAATTTTGTAGAGAATTGCCAAGAAGATCAGGAAAAAATAAAAAAAAGCCATAAGGGACTTCTCATGGGACTTGGGGGAAAGAAGGATCACTTGGTCAAGTGGGAGTTGGTGGACAAAACTCAATGACTGCAGTCCAGCATCAGCAACATTAGGCAACTCTTGCTTTTTCTTTACAATTTTTTTTCCTTAACCCTCTTGTTGATTCCCACCCCAAATAGACCCCCTTTCAATCTAGCAAACACCTTTGACGCTAGCACAAGTCTGTTAAGTTTTTTGTCTAAATCTTTTAACTGCATTAGGATGGCCCACACCAATCTTTTTATCTCCATTCTTTTCATTTACCCTTTCAAGCTCCAAGACTACGTTTTTTTCGAATATTTGCTCTACTATCATACTACCTCCCTTATATTGGCAAGTTTTTGCTTCTTTCCACAGCATGTCATCCTCCTATCGAGAGATATAATGTATTTCGGATTTTGGAGGTTATAGGTGTATATTTGTAATGCTAATAAATTTTGGGATTTGTAGGTATTTATGGGAGAAAGAAGGGCTTGTGTGAAATTCTGGTATAATTTGGCCTTTTGCTTATTTAAGCCATTGGTTGTCTGGGATTAGGGTGGACTGAGAGTGGATTTTTTTTGTGTCTGTAGAGAGGTCAGCCATGTATCTCTTGTTCTCATAGTGGATATTTTTCCCTCTCTTACTGTGGATGTAGGCTACCGAGCCAAACCACGTTAAATCTTGATGTTTTCTCTATTTCCTCTTCTTATTTTCTTCTTGATTTGTTATTCTGTTTTATATTAGTTGACATGGTATTAGAGCAGGTTTAGTGTGGAAATTAGTTTGGTGAATTTTATTAGACTCCAAAAGGGGTGATATTGCTTCTCGTTGCTTTTTTAGGAAACCAGGAAAAAGTAACATCATATTTGGATTTTCTTTTGGTTCTATCATACCTAATGGAATCTAGACTTGAGCTTTTAGAGCTCAGGTCATTTTTATATGAGAAAGAAGATCAAAGGGTCATTTGGACAAGGAAATCTGATCTGGTTGGTATATTAGAGCATCTTCAAGTCCTTATTTTTAATGCTATTAAAGCTTTATTTGGATTTTTCTCTTTTGTTGGCTCTCCGATAGGATTACCTCTATGGAAGGATTTATATTTTCCCTTCTCGTATTGTGGGTTATGCTCCTTAGCATCTGAACCAGTTCATATCTTCAAGCAAATTCTGGTTTCTATGTTGCATATCAACTGTTTGATTTATTGTCTAAAAGGTTGGTTGTTGGTCATTTAGCCAAGCTTGGTGTTTTCTTTGGGAGCTCCAATTTTTTGAAGAAGTATTATAGAAGCTCTGCAACTTCTCTGATCTATTTATGATTATCAATACCAGCATGGGATACTGGAGCTCAAGGTGACCATTTGGTGTTCGAGAAAACATCTTGATGGTGCAAATTTCTACAATGGTTTTCCATTGTTATGATCAGTTCTGATCTGAATCTGTTTGTGTCTTGGTTTGATATTTGGACTATTTCGGTGTGATGGATCTATTATCATTGGTCAATATCTGGTTTGTTTACCTCATACATGTTTTGCATGGAAGATGTTTGACGAAATGTTTCAGCAATTATCCTTTATTATGCTCACCAGTTCTGATTTAAGGTTGACGAAATCCTTGGAGTCTTGATCTCCTTCGGTGACATGGGATTTTGATTCACTTTATATAGTTGGATTTCCAATTGGCCAACTCCGATTCCTCAATTTGGTTTATGGAGTTCATAGTTAGCTTTCCTTCTATCAACTTTGAATCTTTGCTCTGGTTTATGGAGTCCAACATAGTTGGCTTTCCACTAGCCAACTATGTTTTGGTAATTCTGTTGGCATTTCTAATGATCTTTTGACATGGTTGGTTCTTGAGTTCAAATATTGTTATTGGCCTTTTGATGGCTAAATTTGATCCTTTGGCCTGATATGTGTTGACTTTCCGTTGGCCAACTTCAGTTTGGTGATCACTAGATCATGACTTGGCTCTACTCTGGCTTTCCAACACAAATTCATTCAACTTTCTAACACCCAACTTTGGTTTCTAAGTGGCCCCTTCAACATCTCAAGTTTCATGGTTGTAACTTCAAAAGTACACCTATTTTCATAAAGGTTGCTTCAACATCCTTCTTGCAAACTCAAGTTGGTTTCCCCACCTTGAGTTTGAGGGAAGGTGTCGAGAGATATATTGTATTGGGGTTTTTGGAGGTTGTAGGTGTCTATTTGTAATGCAGATAAATTTTGGAGACTTGTATGTATTTATGGGAGGAAGAGGGCCTGTGTGAAATTCTGGTATAATTTGGCCTTTTGCTTATTTAAGACATTGGTTGCCTCGCCTAATCACCAAGTAGTTTTCTATATTGTGTTATAAAAAACTTTTATATTCTTAATTTTTTTGAGGTTATAATTATAAAATAGACATTTTTAAACCAAAAGATTCATTTTGTGTGTTTATATACTAATTTCTTTTTATTATTTTCTTATTTGTTAAGGTTTAATCAACACAAACATTGCTAAATGCTGTATTGAACCCTCAAAGACTTCAAAACCTAAACCAATAAGTAAGGAAGAACATAAATGTTGTCCAATCAACACATTTTCTTCCTTTCCTTTACTAATTTTGTGTGTTTATATACTAATTTCTTCTTTCACTTTTTCTTTTCTTCTTTTCCTATAACAGAAATAGGGGTTCAGCCCCTATATTTTTTAAATTTTCTTTTCTTCTCTTTCTTCTCATGAATATGCTGGAATATGTTGATTTTCTATACTTTAACATGAAGTTTATACTTTTTTTATGAAAATTATGGATATTTATTAAGGAAATATGATTATGGAACCTAGGGAACTATCCTAGGATACCTGTTTTTACTTAAAAAAATCCATCGCAAGGTGCCCCCCACCGCCTAGCCTCGCCTCGGCGCCTTGAAAACTATGGTCAGGTGATGTCTCTTGTTCTTCTTCTCCACCGCCTCTTCCAATTCCCATTGAGGACCCCATTCCACTTGTTCCAATTGTGACTAAGTCTTCGCCTCTAGTGCAGCCTCCTGTTGAACGGCCACCCATCCGCCAAGTGTATATGCATCGACGACATGTACTAGCTCCTCATCCAGCTTCTTCACCGTCGACAGATCCGGCAGTTGTTCCCACACCAGCCCCACCCCTTGTTTCTAACCTTGATCTTCCTATGCCTTGTGGAAGGGTAAACGCAGTTGCACACTTCATCCCATTTCCAATTATGTTTCTATATCTCGCCTTTTTGTTTCCCATCGCCAGTTTGTTTCTCTATTGTCTTCTATTTCTATTCCTACGGATGTCCAGGAAGCCCTTGCCTCTCCAGGGTGGCACCATGCAATGCAAGAACTCTCAGCTTTGGCTCATAATCATACGTGGGATCTCACCACGCTCCCCTCGGTAAGTATGTTGTAGGTTATAAGTGGGTATACATTGTTAAGTATTTACCTGATGGTAGTGTAGAGCGGTTGAAACTTGAAAGCTCGACTAGTTGCCAAAGGATATTCCCAAACGTATGGCATTGACTACACCGAGACCTCTCTTGTTGCTAAAATTGGATCAGTTCATGTTTTGATATCTCTAGCTGCTATGTATGATTGGCCTCTGTTTAAACTTGACATCAAGAATGCCTTTTTACATGGTGATCTCCTTGAGGAGGTCTATATGGAGTAACCACCGGGGCTTGTTGCTCAGGGGGAGGATGGTAAGGTGTGTAGACTAAAGAAGGCCATTATGAACTTAAACAGTCCCCCGTGTGTGGTTTGGTAGATTTAGTGAAGTGATAAAGAAGTTTGGCATGAAACAGTGTCAAGTTGATCACTCAGTATTCAGCTATGATTCACATGCTAGGAAGATTTTACTGGTGGTATATGAAGATGACATTGTTATTACCAACAGTGACAGATTGGGGATTGATAGGCTAAAGATCTTTCTACAAGAGCACTTCCAAACAAAGGACCTTGGTAAATTAAAATACTTCTTGGGGATAGAAGTAGCAAGGTCTAAGCAAGGTATTAATCTGTGTCAGAGGAAGTATGTTCTTGATTTGTTGGAGACATGATTGTTAGGTGCCAAACCAGCTGAAACACCTATGGAACCAAATACCAAGTTGAGTAGTGATGTGGGTGAGCAGTTTGAAGATCTCGGAAGGCACAGGTGGTTGGTAGGTAAGCTAAACTACCTAACCATTATTTGCCACATATTTCATTTGCGGTTAGTGTGGTGAGCAGTTTATGTAGAATCCTCGAGTTCCACATTGGAATGCAATTCTAAGGATTGTATGGTATTTGAAGGGAGCTCTTGGTCGTGGCTTGTTATACAAAAGTGGAGGAAATCTTGAAATAGAGGGATACACCAATGCTGATCTTCCAAGTTGTTGGCAGATCTTCTGACCCATCTTATTTGAATGTTCATGTCTTTTGACAGCCATTTGAAAGGCCTGAATTCATTTCTAAGCTGCCAAGTCACCCCCTAACCTTTCTTCAACTATCCCAATACTATCTTCAAATCACCTTCTTTTTCTTTTTCCAGCTAAAAAGTCTGCTCTTCCTGAATCACCTTGCTCAATTGGGCCTAGGAACAAGGCACATATAATACCACCCTCATCTCTAATCACCCCTCCAATTCCTGAGGGAGATAGATTGTCCACACTACTGCCATCAAAATTTAGTTTCATCCAACCACCCACTGGGGGTGACCAAACCTCTAAGGTTTTTTTTTGTTTCCTAGAGGAAGAGCCAGCTATTTCCCCCTAGCTCCTGGAGAAATCCTCCACCTTGAAGTCTGAAAAGAATTTCAAGGTCTTTACCCAATGTACAACTCTTAGAGTTATGAGTTCTATCACTGCCTCCTTTTTTTTTATGATTTCTATCACTGCCTCCTTACTCTTCTCCTTTTCCCCAAAATTTCTTGTATTTCTTTCTTGTATCCCTTTCACATAAATATTCTCAACAATTTCTAATCAAGTTTCCGATCACATCCCTTCTTCTCCCCTCCCTTAGTCCCCTTACATTCCAGTCAAGTAACTTCATCTCCCTCCCCCTCCTCCCACTGATCATTCCAACCATCTTATCATTCACCTGAACTAAAACCCAAGAAAGGCTACCCGATCCTAATCAGATAGTGTTGGGTCATTGCAGGTTTACCACCTAATCCAATCCACTGGCATCCCTAAACTGAAGAGACTCTTATAACATAATAAGTAGTGAGACCAAATTACCCCTGACATCATGCCTCCTAACAATACACACGTGTTTAAGTATGTATCTATGCATATTTTAGGGGGTGTTTAACAACATGATTGGTTTTGTTTATGAAAACAAAAACAACTGTCACATCAGCAAAATTATATGTTTTTGCTGATGTTGCAGTCATTTTTGTTTTTAAAAACAAAACCAACCATGCTGTCAAACACCCCCTTAGTCTACATGCATGCGTACATAAAAAATAAATTATATTACATTGAATTCCATAAGCTGTTCATAACCACCACTTTGATGAAATTTAAAGCTAAACAACATGGAGAGTATAGGGTTCTGCACTCACCATAACAGCAAAGAGCTGAGTGCTAGCATTTTTACTTCCCACCCGTTTTTTAATAGCTTTTATAGCATCTTTAGCTTGCCTGCTCATTCAAAAAAGTTTTAAAAAAAAAACTATGGTTAGAAAATGGTGGAAAAGGGAGGAATTGAATCATCTTATATTACTTTGCACAAGGAGTGACATATAAAGCATGTACCAGATACATTTGCAAGATTTTAACTGAAAAAACTAATAGAGACAAATATTGCAAGGCAACAACCATTAATACTTCCCATTTTCCAACATGATAGGAAAAAAGCAATTTACCACAACCGAAACAGCTTCATTGAAGGCCAAATATGTAGATCTCAAAGAATTAGAAGAGAAAAATAACCTAAAAACAATGAAAAGCCATCATACTATAAATAAAAGAAAACCTACCTATAATATGACTAAGTATATTAAGTATTTACAGCCTTAGAAAATGTCACTCTCTAGCATTCATTTACCCATGCTGCCATGCATATTGTGGTCATTAAAATATTCAACTATACTCAAAAAATAATGAGAGAAAAGTTGGAGAGAATGTTGTCCAGAACAGGCCAATTGAAGTGGAAAGGTGCATCTGATGTGCTGTCTGTCTGGTGCATACTAGTTAGACTAAAAGAAAAATTCTATTAAGATGGATAAAGACCAACATTGCTTTATGGGATAGAGTGCTAAGCAATCAAAATTCAAAAAACAACATATTCAAAAAAAAAAAGGAATGTAGCTAAGAAGAGGATGCTGATATGGATTGACTAGAAACGAAAAAATTAGAAATAATTCAAACAAACATGTTAGAGATGACTTCAGAGTAGCTCTAACTAGTGATGAAATCATGCTTATAGGCAACCAATGATTGTACCAATGACAAGTGATTTAGTTCAAAACTTCAAATAAAAGGGTCTAAAAGAGCAAAGGTAAAACAAAAAGAAATATAGACTTAAGTGGTAAGAAATGATCTGAGTTTAATTTGACAGAAAGCATGACTCTTGATATAGCATAATGATGGAACAGGATTCATGTAGCTAGCCCCAAATGGTTTGGGTTAAGGCTAAGCTAAGTTAAGTTGAGACTCAAAGTATCTAACTAAATTGAAATTGCCAGTAAACTTGAATAGGTAATAACACTAAATAATAATACATAATCTTTATTGTGCAAGTAATATACCCTTGATCACGTGCAACTAGTTCACAGATTTCAATATTTTTCATCCAATCCATTTCTGTCAGTTTCTCACTGGTTGCCAAGTTGACAAGCTCAGCTGCCATAACTACTTGGTTCCAAATTGTTCACCAGGACATATAGCTCAGAATGTTAAACTTTTGGACATATCTGTAATAATTGGAAAAGAATTAGAACTTATCTGTATCAAATGCCATTACATTGCACCTGTCTGGTAGATCAATTGACATGTGCAAAAAACATGATTGCAAGAAAACTGGGTTAGTTACTAGTGTAGGGAAGAAAACTATTTAAGGCAAGAAGCATAATGTGGCTAGAGAACCTTAACATTCCTTTAGACCTAGCAAGAAGCTTAACATAAATTAACCAATCAAAGGATAACATTTTTGTTATCAGCATTATCAAAGGAGAACAATTAATACTTTAAAGATTATACTCAAATCCTAAAATAACTTGTACATCAATCAAGACAAGAAATTTGAGAACCCCATATATGCTACTTCACAGAAAATAAATATTGGAGATAAAAAGGGATTGGAAGGGGAGTTAAAGGAACTAAACACAACAAAAAAAAGTAAAACCCCACAAAATATTGAACGTCATCTGCAAGAGCATGATTTAATTAAGCAATGAAATAATATAACCACTGAATCTCAGGAGGAAGGAATTAAAGATTTTGATCTAATTAAATTGGGACCAATTTGCTTACTAGAAAGACAAAGTGCAATTTTGCTCGAAAACCAGCCAAGTAATGTTAACTAAAAAGTGCAGCTTGATTTGATACAAATGCTTTCCATAATAAGCAGAAAAGGCTATTTAAAGACTAAAGAGAACTTCCAACCACAATGCCCCATGAATCCATTCATGTGAAGATTGAGAAGAGTGCATAACTCAAAAAACATGTAAATATGTGAGTACAAATTCTGAGAAACACATAACTCATGATTGTCATGGTTAGTTAACTAGAAAGTGCATAATTTTTTATCATGATTTCAGTAATGCATAATTGCAAGAGCAATGTTATTTTCTTATTAACAGGCAATAATCTTTCTTGGATGCGAATTACAGTAGGGATTATTTCACAACATCAAAGCCAATGCTGGCCTCTGAACCCTTGTTAAAGTGCAACCAAAAATGCAATATACACTGCTAGAACACTTAATAAAAATATCCCCAAAATCTGATGCAAATAAAGCAGGTCCAGTATCAAAAGGGATCAATGGATGTGAGGAAACAGAAAGAATCCAATGCATTGTTCATGGACAGTTTGGACAGATTCACAAATCACAGCCAACAGTAGTTCTTTATTACTACGCACCAGCAATGTTTTGAGATGACATTGATTTGAAAGACACTTGATTGTACTTCATTATTTGCTCCATCAGCACAACAACCTCAAAATACAGTTGGCATAATATTTAGAAAAAGCTATTCTCGTACATTAGTTTAATCTACCAATTTCAGTTTAAATCACTTCACTATCAAGTATCAACAAACACCCATAGATCATTCAATTACCTAATCTACCAGATTACCCAACTGGATAATCCAAAACCACGGATTAGGGAGATTCAACACATAAGTCAACTCAGCAAACATAAACCCCACTTCAATCACAAAATTTGCAAACGTTCACGTCAGAAACAATCTTCCACAAGCAAGTAACCACAACCCAGATCTAATCGACCATTAAAAGAGACCGAACCCAATTACAAATTCCACAAACAAAACTAGTGATCCACAAAAATGGATCGCCAAATACAAAATTCAATCACAAGAAAATTAGAAAACTCCAAAAATGCCTTTTTTTCTCCGAGTTGAAGAGAATCAAAACAAAGACCAGGGTCACAAAATGATACAAATAGGCGTACCCGATTCAAGGAGTGTGGATTGAGAAACCCATAGACGCAAAAGAAATAAAAAGCAAGATAAAACGCAAAAAGCTCCAGAATTTCCAGAAGAGCAAATCAGCAACTTTCGGCGTCTACTCCACCCATGAAAGAATCCAAGCTAGGGTTTGCTTTTGAGCTCCTCCTCTCTTTCTGGTTTCTTCTTTATGAGTGTGTTCTGTTAATATTCCTCGTCCTTTTGCAGTGAAAGTGAAGGCACTGGCTTTCGTTCTGGGGTAGCGAGAAGTTAGATTTGCGTTTCCTTTTTTTTTTTTAGTTTTCTTTTTCTCTAACTGATTTCTCTGCTTTATATAATTGAGAAAAACAGTTCATATCAGTAAGCGACACCGCCATGAGCACCCAGTCCCAGCGAAGTAAAAAGGTTGTAGAGAGAGAGAATTCTAGATAGGAAAAGACGAGAGAGAGTGAGAGAGATCACCCGACAGGGTGTTCAGGTCTCAAGCCCATATTCCATGCTCCGCTGGATGGACGTTAATGGACGCACTCACTCCCGAGCCCGGATCTGCTATTTAGAGCGCTCCATACACCAACCTCACAACTCGTCCCAGCCGCACATCGGGGACATCTCCCCTACTTCAGTAAAACGCGTTCCAACAGCTTACCAATTTGATTCGACACCACACATCTCTCACTATGAAATTGGGGCCCACCAAAAGTAGGACCCGCCATGCATGAGATGTGTGGTGTAAGATGATGTTGGAAGGGTGTTGGAAGGTATTTAGTTGGCAAGTGATCCGAACTTCTTTTACATGGCACTTATCCGAGTAGGGATGTGCTCCCTAAAGAGCATTCCTCGCACCCACATTCCATCGTGTATTGGGAATTGTTGCTACTGAATTTAGAGTCAAGGGCAGCATAGTAATTTTTGAGGTCCGAAAGCTGTGAGTCCCACCTGCCAAGAGTGAAAAGACATCAAAGGCTCCAGGAGTGTTCCCAAGGGCAAAGACTATGACGATCAAGTTAGTCAAGGTTCAAAGTAAAGCCAAGTTCACAACAAGAGAGTAAGTGTACATTTAGTTGTGAATGTACATTTAGCTGTGATGCCCCTTTTATAGTCAGAGTCACCTGGGGGAAGAGTAATGAGCAATGAGTAACCATCTCGTAGATTGCGGTCACATAGATGGGAGCTAAAGAGGCATCAGATAACCACAATCCCTTCATTAGTGTGTCGGGAGTAAATGCGTCGAGAACGTGCACCTGCAATAAGTGCTCCATAGTGGCTCGGAGTGGGAGTTACCTTGTTGCCCTTGGAGGAGTGTGGATTGATAGGGGTACCCTTAGACAATGCCACGTGTTGGGGTTCGGTGTGTCGGCCAAGTATACCTATATCACTTGCCCCCCACTCTCAAAGCCAAGGCCAGGGCCGTTGGGTGAGTTGTGCTCAGGGCTCAGCCTCGGTCGATGAGAGCAGATATATGTTCTAGTAGTACTTCAAGTGTTTGTTCATGGGCAAGAGCTTTGCTAGTGACATTGTAATGTCTTTATGCGGTCTAATGTTTGTGATCGGGACATATCTGTGTTTCTGTTACCAAGTTGTCGTAACCTAAATGGGTGCTTGTTGTTGTTGTTAGATAGTCATGACTGAGACCGGTGATGGCTTCTACTGTTAAGTAGTCATGTCCAGGATGGGCACTGGCTTCTATTGCCATGGGGCCGTGACTGGGATAGGTGATGGCTTCTGCTATCAGATGGCCATGTCCAGGATGGGCACTAGGTTCTACTACCATGGGGTCATGACCGAGATGGACGATTAGACAAGCGCACCAATTCAATGTAGCTTGAGTCAAAGGCAATGAAAGATCCGACTTCGGGCTTCAATATAGTTTCATATTTCAAGGTCAATGCCACATGGAGGTTGTCAGTGTGGATGGTTAAGGTGACGCGAACGTGTCAAGGTCTAGTATGACAAGGGTACCCTTGGACGATGCCACGTGTCGAGGTCCAGTATGTCAGCCAAATATACCTACATAAAGAAAATCTCCTTATGAATAAAAATACAAGTATGGGAGATGTTCCCAATGTGCAGCCAAGACATGCTAAGAGGTCAGTGTGACGAGCAAATCCAAACTCTAGCCAAGCCAAGACTGTACTTTGGGGGTAGTGACAGATAGGTACCTAAACTTTCAATTGCAACACCTGAGTATCCTGAACTCTCAAAAATAGACACGTGGGTCCATCCATTACTATTCCGTCAGTTAAACACTACATAATGCCAAAAATACCCTTCTCATGTATTTTTTAGATCATTCTCAAGTAACCGAATGTCTCCCCATGATGGCATTCTCACATGGACAACAAATAGCATATCCAATTTCACAACAACTGCATTAGAAGGGTATTTTTGACATTATGTAATGTTTAACTGACAAAATACTAACAGGTGGACCCCAAGTGTCTATTTTTGGGAGTTTAGGGTACTTAATATATATATATATATATAATTAGACAGTGTATGTGCTTAGCTCCAATCAAATTGATGTATAGATACATTTATTGTAAATGAATAAAAATACATTACTTTTTCATGTTGATATTGGTATGTTTCTATGAAATTATCCCTTAAACTGGACACTTATGAGACTCGTGTTAGTTTAGAATTTATCCTGCCAAGGCTAACACTGATGTGTAGCCAAAGAAGTTGGTTGAGATAGCTTGTCTCAACTATTAGGGTTAGACCCAAAGCACATGCAATGTGTATTTGGTTGAAACATTGAACCCATGCCATTTTTCTAATTATGCCCTGGACCTTGGATATTGATGGGCAAAACTGGAAAATTACACATAACCCCTACACTTGATTATGGTACCGCACTAGGTGTCGGATTGGGATGTCTTTGATATGTCAATCATTGAGATCCATTGTGGGTCAAAACCTAGGTATGTTGGGGTAGTCTGATAATTCACTTAATTGGGTGATCATAATAATAGGATCGGCCCCTTTGTCGGACAAAGTGAATGATAGGATTTGCACTCTCACTGGATGGAAACCTAAATTGCCAACAGTGGATTTCAACTATGTTTGAAATTTGGTTTTGTAATATATGTTTTATGAAAAAAATGTTTGCAAAAGGTTTTAATTCCCGGGATCCATCCGAGCAGAGAGTGTGACAATACACCTTGTAGCTAGGAGAGAGGTCCTTCCTTGTCGGGCAGTGTTTAATCATTATGGGCCGAGAGGTTAAATGTAAAAGACCATTACAGGATGGTTGAATTATCCTTGTGTCTTCATAGGATGGCTAAATTTAAGGATAATTTAAGTGTAAATGTTGGGCCCATAGTGATGTGCTCAGGGGTTTATTGCCTTTAGTAGTGAATTCTACAAAACCTTTTCATAGAGGCTGGGCTGAACCCATGTGGACTTATGTGAGGTCATTGTGGGGTCCCACGCTATACAAATCAGGCCTAAATTGGCCATGCAACACCCTTGGGTCATGAGCCTTATAGCTGATGGGCCTAAGGCCCATAATTAATATGATTAATTAAGCTGTCACATGATTGACATGTGACATAGGGTGAATCTGGGTTTGCATTTGGGTATGGAGCACCTAATCTTATAAGAAGATAAAGTCTATCTCTAATTAAAGTCTAGATCTGATTTAGATCTGGATTATCTCCTAATTAGATTAGGATATAGCTCCATAAGAGATTATAAAAGAGGAGGGGGCAGACCAGTCCAAGATAGCTTCATATTTTGTAGTTTCTGATCCTCTCTGCACCCTTTTGTCTCTCAGTTTTTTCCCAGTTTGACCTTGACTGATATAGATCAATTTTTCTTCTAATTTTTGCAAGAAAAATCCAGAGGAATTTCATGCTTACCTCCCTAGTTCGATCTAAGCAATTGGATTGCAATTTTGCTGAAAACTACGTTGCTAAATCGGCTTCAAAAGTACACTACGCCATCATTAGTGGAGGCTAGTTTTAGGTCTGATTTGTGTGTGAACTTCCACCTTAGGATCTGCGTTTGTGGTATCCGTATCAGTTATACATCTCTCTCTTTGTTTGGTTTCAAATCTAGTCTGGTTCAGTGCAAGACTGATCCTTGAAAAATGCAATTTTTCAAAACATAGTGAATTCGATTCCTAAAAGGATTAAGAAATTTTTGAAATTTTGCCCAGCCATCTAGCATGGTTCAGACATCAATATGATGGATCCTAATCCTTCCTTCATACGCACACACACACACACACACACACATATTTATAGAATTTTTTGATACATTATTAGTATCATTATCATCACCTAGAATTGCCACATGCAAAGCACGTGTACGCATACTAGTATTTATAAGTGAACAGAAGTATTAAAGTGGATTAATGGTAATAAATCAATATATTTGAAAAAAATGTTATGGGTTCACATCTTATCATTTACATTTTGAAAATTATATACATTTGTCACACGATCAGTTTTAAGAAATCGGGAGTGGTCCACTAGTTTTCCAGTTAAACCAGTGAGTCAATTGGAATTAGGTGCTTTTCTACCTATTCCAGTTTCTAAGGTACAATTGAACCAGACATAAGTCTAGGTTATGGTTCAATTAGCCGGTTTAGTCCGGTTTCTAAGGTTTTAACCTTAATCATAAGGAAAAGCTCGTCTCCTCTACATATTTCAATAGAATAATTGAATATCTTTGATGTATTAGTGATGGTAAATTTCCCTAAACCCACTTTTACCTTACATGAGTGGAGGTGGACCAAGTGCATTTAGTTGCTTTAATAATAAATTGTTAATTAGAGATGAATTAATTTCTTAGTTTACCTTCCACAATTTTTTTTCCTAATATGGGTTTCATTAGATGTGACACATGATTATATCTAGAAGCAGATCTACCCACATTTTATTCATTTTATATCCCCCAATTTTTTGGGATTGGACATTACACACAAGTTTGATCTTTATATCTATTATTAACATAACAAGTAGTTTTTCTTTTATTTTTTGTTCCTTTTAATGGGAATTTGTTCATCATTTTTGTCTTCAAATGCATCTAAAACTAGTCATCATCCTTTTATCCTATGGGGAATATTTTAAAACTAGTCGATCTAGTTAAACCATGTATTCTAGGGCCAATGAAAAGAATTTTGATGAGCTCTGTTTGAAACTAATCTAAAAACCCTACAAAACTATTGAAATGTTGGAATCTTCAATAGCTATATTGTGCTTTAAGCAGCTATTTCTATGTAGGTTGTTAATGTCATTGTTATTATATTTATCATATCAGATTCCACGGTATTGTAGAAGTTTTAGTTAATATTTAAGACAAGGCTTTGTTTGATGATTAAGTGATTTGAGAAATAAATTCTTATTGCATAAGTACTTAAAGTACTTATTTGAATAAGTACTTAATGCTGTTTGGCGACTTCTTTTCCAAACCATTTATACTTATTTTAAGTACTTAGGTGAGGATGTTTGGTGTGGCACTTCCCC